CCCCGCCACGCCCCTGCGGAGCCAGAATGCGGGGGAGCCGGAGGCGGAGGAGCGGGCGGCCTCCGGTGGGATCTGCCTCCATGTGGACAGAGATCAGCTGTCGGTGGAGTTCTGCGCCGTGTGTGCCAGGCGGGCATCTGCCTCCTTCAAAATGTAGGGTCAAGTACCTGCTTCAGTCTTTATTTTTCACCTGTCCGTGCCCACATCCAGGGGCTTCGGGCCGTGGCGGAGCAAGCAGGTCATGGCTTGAAAAAGGCGGCCTCCGGTGGGATCTGCCTCCATGTGGACAGAGATCAGCTGTCGGTGGAGTTCTGCGCCGTGTGTGCCAGGCGGGCATCTGCCTCCTTCAAAATGTAGGGTCAAGTACCTGCTTCAGTCTTTATTTTTCACCTGTCCGTGCCCACATCCAGGGGCTTCGGGCCGTGGCGGAGCAAGCAGGTCATGGCTTGAAAAACAGGGGCTAGGCAAAGCTGGCGTAGGAACGGCAGAGGGTAAAGAGCTCGCGTGAACTTCATACTTGGGAGCCAGTGTGTGGCACTGGGTAAAAGATCGCACAAAACTGGCTCACAAATGGCGCGCTCGGAATCTGCTTACAGCAGCGTGCCAAATATCGTGCAAACTGACACATGCAGTTGTATTCGGAGCCCGTTTGCAGCAGGGAGTGAAAGATCATGCAAACCTGAAGCATGAAGGTGTGCTCCGTGCCTGTTCACAAATGCCAGTAGAGATAATACTGCCTACCCTGTTTTGAATCAGATAAAATATAGTCCGCTTATCCTGAGGAGCTGAAAATACTTGTTTTTTTGTTTTTTAGAAAAAGAAAAATTCGACTTATTAGGACATCGTCACTGGACAGACTTGAGAACAAAATTAATATTGATGAGCAAACAGTTAAAGCATGCATATGAAACTGTAATAAATATTAATTATACATTACTATTAAACCTCTCTGACAGTTTCTTTTTTAGGTGCTTGCCCTGCCATGCTCCGTTGTGTAGGGGTTAAAGAGCAGTCGTTTTCCACTTCGCAACCTGGTAAGGATCCATATATTCCCATAATGCGATATCAAACCTTTATTGATGTTTAAGTCCTGGTTTTTCTGACTCTTGGTTCAGGACCAGTGATTGGAAATGTTTTCTCATCTTGAAAGTGTTGATGCTGATTTGCCTATGTGTTTCCAGTTCTGGCTGATCTCCGGTGGAGGGTATTTCAGTCACATTCTGATTACTATCCTTCTTCCCCTTGCCCCTGTTCTGCTGTGGAAATTTTGACTTAATTTTATTAGCTAGTATTTCTCAAAGTAATTAAAGTTATAACTTATACTATTTTGTTTTCCATCAAATAGCAGTTTTTTAAGATGACTGCTACTGAATGACTAGGGCAGGGGACAAATCATATGGTAATCAGTATGATATGATTTATTTCTGATCTTCCATCTTTAGACCACCCAGAACTTGATGTAAATGGTCTTCTCTTAAAGATCAGGATTATGCATTCCAGGATATAAGATCCCAGAATCTAGTCCTGATGGTTTTCAAGATCACTTTAAAAAAGAAAAACTTCATTAGTCTACCTTATTTGGTGATGTAAACTTTTGTCTGTATGAACAATCCAAATATTGGTTTCAGTTATATCATTGTACAATGGTACCCTAATGCAGGCAAGACACCTATTTTTTTCACAGAACTGTAATGTATATTGCAATTTAAAGATTACAGTGCTTGGAAATAACTCATGATTTAAATTCTAGTTCACTATAAATAATCTGTGTACACCCAAGATAACTGAGATTCCTTGTATTCAAAAATAGCTTATTGCATGCACACTTGTGTAATTTTACTGTAGGATCTTAAATAGACATCTCTGATCATTCAGAAATATCTCTAAATTTCTATAGTCAGGAAATAAAATATGTAGATGAACAAAGGTTATCTCTTGACACTGATGGTTTGAAAAAATAATGCTCATGCAGACCTCCATGTTTAGTTGAGAGGAGGAATAAAAAAGTTTTGGGATCACAGACAAATGTTTGAGTTGCTTTTGGACCAGCACTAATATTACCCTATCATGCAAGATAAATAGGTTATAATACACCTTTTTATTTTTTGGTTGTATTAAAATGGTTAGATTATTTACATGTATGTAAATTGGGGAAAACGGGTTATGAAAAATTACTAACTGTAAAGTGAGGTTTCACAAAGAATGAGTCAACCTAAGTATAGCGTTAACAATTGAGATGTTTCTAAAATGATTCGTTACTATTCTTAAACCTTAAAACTAAGATGTAATAAATTGATTTATATGTTGGATTAAGATTAAATTGAGGGGTCTCCTTCCAGTGATGTGCTGAAGTAGCTTCCACTAGTGGTAATAGGAGTTGAAGGAAAAGCAAGTGACAACTAAATTCTTTGTGAAACATCACTGTTTGATAAAGTATATGTGTATTTAGCATCCTTATTTTTCTTTATGCTAAAGTGGATACAGCTGTGTTGGGGCAGAAGAGACGGGACCAGCTGCTGGCCACATTTCCTGCTTTATTTTAAAAGGTAGTATAAGAAATGAGGAAAAAGAGGTAACAGGGCTTCTGCTGTCTTTCATTTTTGAAAAGCTTGAATGTTTGGAAAAAAATAATCTCACCACTCCGAAGTTAGTGTGGTACTAGTTTGAAAAGGGACTAGGTACAAAGATAATCAATCTTCTGCTTTCTGTGAATTCGGTTACCTGTTCACAGAAATACAAAGCTAGTACAGCTAAGAACTAATGAGCTGTGGATTCTATTCCATCTTGTGCAGCATCAATCAGATTGTCTACTCAGTTCCAGTCTTTTATACTTGTACAATCCCCTTGTACGCAGTGGGGTAGTCACAAATGTCATTAAGAGCGTTATTTAATTGTTAGCACTCTTATTCTTGGTGGTAGGTGAAATGAGAAGAACTGAGCTTGACTGAGCCAAGATTGAAGTTATAGGGCTCAATCACTTGTTTACTTGTAATCATCTTATTCAACATAAAAATCATTAAAACAGTAAGCATGGAAGATTGCTGTGGCATTTTTAGTCTGCTTTACGGTAACTTTAAGTTACCTCAACTTAAATATAACACTATCTTCCTCTGTAATAGGATTCCCTGTTTTGAACAATTATGAACACTTTGTTAGATCAGAGCAGTCTGGGACTTAATCCTGACTTCTGATATGCACATGTGCACCACTGTATTCTGTAAAATATACTGCAAATGGGCAATAGCTAGTTTTACAACATGCAAAATGTGTGCCTGTACAATTAAGAGCAGGATCCACACCCCAGAATGTGGCTGCAGGGATTTTTAGTGCCTTCCAAATCTCATGTAAACCAAGCAGAGGGGAAAATTCTTTGACTTCTAATCAGTTTGTGCTATCTGTATGGAATATTGTTAAATACAGCTTTTTTGGAGCAGAAGCCTTGAATTGATACCTTAACAATACTTGAAAAACTTGTAAATGTTTGTAATTAGCTCTGTGCTGTACAAATAAGAATACAGTACTATAATAAAATCAGATGTGTTGATCTTTCAGTTATGGGCTCAAATAATTTTTTATCTTGTTCTTAACATTTTGTTTTTGATGAATGAG